ATATATACATACATACATACATACATACACATACATATATATATATATATATATATAATTGAAATTTTCTACAAAAGGCAAATATATATATATTCAACAAAAAACAGCAAACTGTTTCCACTTGTTATTTTCCAATGCATCACATTGGTCCCTGAATTTAAAAAAAAAAAAGAAAGAAAGAAAAAAAGAGGTTTATACTATTTACTACGCTGTACATTTGCCCTTGCACACCACAGAAGAAGCACATAGGAAAGTGTTACCAAGTACTTTATTACAGCTTGAGGACAGTTGAGCCTGCTGGGTCTTCATTAGTTTTAAACAACAGGACTGCTTTTTGGCAGTGCAGAACAGGTTTTCATGGAGCACCATAGTCCTGTGAATGAGAGAAGGAAGACGGATGAGCAAATGCTAAGGAGTTAGTTTTCACCTTGAACACACCATCACTCTTCTTGACTAATTCTCAGGTTCTGTCTATACATGCAGTTAAGGTACTGGTGCCTGACAGAGAGGCAACAGTGGTATATCTGGCATACAACAAAAAGATCAATCACTTTATTGCTATAGCGTACTACTGAACATTAAACAGAGCATTAAACAGAGCATAACAGAACAACTGAACACTCTTGAAAGGAATTATCATTGCATCTTTGGCCAAAGTGAAATAAAAATGGATATTTAGAGAGTTAAAAGGTAGGTCTTCTTGTCTAACAGCAAATTAATTAGATGCTGTGAAGGTAATGATTTGGTTTCCTGTTTGCAATCTGAATGAACAGTTGTAATTATTTCAAAGGCTGAATGGACATGCCTGGTGGAAGCTTCTTGAATATGTCCTGTGGGCAAGACAGCTGAAACCAGGAGCGCTGGCAGCCCCACAGTACCTGTCTTCATAGTGAGTGAAGACTGAGGTGGCACTATGAGCCCCCAGTCTGCTATTAATTCATGCAACTGTCTGGAAGATGAGCTGTGGTGTGAGTGAGAGCACAGTTCTTCCATCTTTACACCTGTAAAATGGATTGACTGAGCACACTGCTGGGAGAGGACCCTTTTCTTAAATGAAAGTTACCATGCCATATATTTCTCTCGGCATTCATTACTGGTCGTTTACTCTGTAGGTCCCAATCACCTTGGTGATGTCCAGTCTAATGTGATGGGCAGAACTAATACCGGAATAAAACCTCTATAGGCTATATGATGCAAGGACAATAATGTGAGTCCATGATGCCAAGGCTCCCTCTCCTGCTTCTCGTTATAGCCAATGTGTGTACACACACACAGGGAAAGGACAGGACAGCAGTGACAAACAAAGCAAATAAACTGGACCGTGACATAGGTGGGGCTGCCTGAAGATTGTGTAGAAATGATGGAAATAGTTTATTGTGAGATTTAATGACCAGCTGTGTGATGTGGAATAACTCAGAACCCTCTAAAAACACATTACGGAAGTAAGGAGCTAGAGGAGTCGTCGAGGCAGGTAGCTGGGTGAGAGTCATTCTGAACACTTTCATTATTCACTGTCAATGTTAACAGAAATATGCAAGTAGAGTTCAATAATCAAGCAACAGCAAAGCAGTCTGACTGTAAAAAGTAATCAAAATTCTTTCTTCATTGTTTCTGCATCACTTTCTCCCAGCTTATTTCCAAGGCAAATTCTTTTCCAGCTACAACATGACCACATCAAATGCGGTGTTTCCACGTTCAACTGATTTTAGTTTAATAATTTATGAGCACTACACTTAATACAATAATGCAGATCAATGACAGTTTTGTTTGAATTTGTTTTGCTACGTTTGTAATTTTGCATCTATGCAGCGCCACAGGGGAGTTTAAATAAAACACTTAAGATGTGATTGAAGTTCAAACTTTCACCTTTGATTCAAGGGGCTTTACAAAAAGTTTGCACAAGCTTAGGAATTATAGCCATTTTTGTACATTTTAATAAATTTTTCCAAGGTTCAAAAGTAAGTGAACGAACTATCATGATTTTAAATACAAAGATTGCTTTTTTTTTTTCTTTTTTCTTTTAAATTTAATTTTAAAAAATAAAAAATAAAAAAAAATACAAAGATTGCTTTTACTGCCTGGAAGAAACTCAGTGACTACTATCTAAGACCCACTGATCTCAATATGCCGTGTTTACCTACCTGAGATTCTTTGCCAGGTCTTTAACTACAGTCACTTATAGTTGCTGCTTGTTTGTGGGTCTCTGCATTGAGTTTTGTCTTGAATGTTTTACATGTTGTCTGCCCTTCCTGTTCTTGAGTTTAACCAGTGGTTTGCACCTTGTTGTAAACCATCTGTATTTCTATTCATCAGAACATCTCTTGATTGTAGACCTTGAAAATGATACACCTACCTCATCTGGGGAGTTCTTAACTTGGCAAGATATTGTTCATACAGTTTGCACTTCAAATTAATTTGATACATTTTGTAAAGTTGAAAACTTTCCACAAACTCAAAGGCACTATCCTGCAGTCATTGCTGCCATACAGCAGCCTTGGCCTTGGCACCGTTTCTGATTTTCACTGTGACACAGACCCACAGTAGTTTCCGCTTCTTCCCACAATGTTCTGTTCCCTTTCCACTCACACTTATACTCGGTTTAAATTGATTCATTCATGATCCATTCATCATCCATTTTCTTAACTACTTAGCTAACTTAATGTTCAGAGGGGGCTGGAGCCTCTCCCAGATGACACAGGGCAAAATGCAGCGCACCAATCTATAACAAAGATAACAAAGAAACACGCTTTCATATTCATACAAGTGGCTGATTTAAAAGCAACAATTAACCCGGAGCACTCAAAGGAAATCCATGCAGGCACAGTGGGGGACATGGAAAAAAGCAATAGAAAGACAAAAAAAGATAAACAAGAGACTTAAACCTAGACCCTTCTTGCTCCAAGGTGACAGGGCAACACCATGCCATCCCAACTGATTTACATAGTTGTAATAATTTACATAGCACACGTCATCCTAAAATAATAAGATCAAACACTGGCATTTACGGTAAGCACTGGGCCATAGGTTTAATAACTGCATTTGACATGAGCGATGGTCTGCAATTTGCTGCTCACCTTAACCCCTGTTCGCCTCACCTTGCATTCATGATCAGTGGAAAAATATTGCACCATAAATACTAGAGCTATCAGTGAAAACTAGAACAAAGTGTTACCATTTTATTAAATATATAAAAACAACTTTCAGCTACTTGTGGGCAGTGGAAAAACGTGTAAACACAACTATGGTATATCACCGTCCTTCAAGCAAGTATAGTAAAGTTGCTTATTTACACAGTCAACAGTTACAATATTATCTTTTGTTTAGAGTGTGTTTCTAAATCCAATATTCATTCTTTTAGCTCCCGAGGAAAATATCTGACAGTTTTGTGTGCTAAATGTTCCGCTAAGTTCACTAGCAGATCTTTATTAATTGTTTGGTTCTGGGGTAGATATGTGCCCTGTGAGTTTATCAGAGCTAGTTTGATGAAAACACATGGGCTGCTGTGGTCAAAAACAGTGCTATAAGCAGAGTACTGAACCGAAACGGTAAAGCTGTTGGGACTGGCAGCTAATCATTGGATGAAATTCACTTTCAAGATCCATAAAGCCAAGGCCAGCTTCAGACCCAGGTGATGATTTTCTGTGTGTTTATCACTCTAAGTGACTCCTTTGTTTTCTCCTTTTCACTTGATACAGTGTTATAAAAATATTGGGCCACTTATGAGCTATTGATCATGCAATGGTTGTATTAATGCAGCTATAATAGCTGAATAGTGCTACATGTTAAGGAATGATATTTATTCTTTTCTTTTTTTCTTCAAATTAATTTTGGAAAAACTGTTCTTTTAAACTTAGTATGTCTAACCTTACTGGCCCGAGTGCACCCTGTTAACGACCCAAGAAGACTGTTCATTAAAAAGGCAATTGAACTTCATCATTCTCAACTTAATAACATTAATTATAATTCTGACCTTCAAGAGATGTTTTATTATTTTTGCTACATCTGCTCAACTCATGTATTAAAACAATTATTTTGAAGAATGGTTTGTGGATCGGCCAGACTTTTTTTTTTCCCCTTCCAAATGCATCGTGGTTTTATTATTGATAAAGATTCAAGGTTGAGGTCATGGTTAAGGTTATGGTGATTTTGTACTGTGCATAAACAAAATCCTGCAGGGCAATGCCAAGGCCCACAGATAAGATAAATACGATGCATACAAAAACAGTACCCTCTCATAACAATCTTTACAAGTCAGCATAGAGCTTCAGAGTTAGAAGTGCAAATGATGTTTACTGAAATGAATGATTAAAAAAAAAAAACAAGATTAAAAAAAAGAAAAGAAAAGAAAGATGCCATTTGTAAACAGACTCGCATGCCCGATGATGCCATGTCATAGCTGACAACATCTTAAGAGATGCAAGTTTACTGATAAGGTGTATTTTTAACTCTGCTACAGAAAATATTAACTTTAATTGTTTTGCATTCGTGCTGAATAATGACAGCAGAGAGGAAACAGATATAACATAACTACGTACTCGCCCGTAGAAGGCTCAAAGAAAAGTAAAAGTTAAATCAAAGCTTGACAACTTGCATCTGTGCAAATTAAATTTCATCTAAAAAGCCAAAAAAAAAAGATACTATGGTTCCCATCAATCTGAGTTAGGGAGCAATGTTGTCTCCTTATCCCTTTACAATAGTAATAGATTTGAGTCTTAAGGCAAAACGATCAGCCTGCATCCATTTCTTTTTTTAGGAGAAAAAATAAATGACTGTCACCATTGACAAAACAGACATCCCAGCTAATCGGTTATTGCAAAAATCAACCACAGGCCTTTATTTTTGCTGTATTTCCTCAGTTTGTCATACTAGAAAAAAGGCTGCGACCCTCCAGCCCATCTTAACCCTTTCTTTATTGACGTGTCAACAAAGGCGGTATTAAAATCCCACAGCAGCAACTTGTTTCAAGTTAAGGTTGACAGAATCTTCCAATTGAAAATCAATTAATGGGACCCTCCCCTCTTCCTCTCATGACTTCTCTGTTCAGTTTGTTAGATTGTACACCATCAGACAGTGGCAGTGGCTGTCATTGCAGAATGACACTGTCCTGACCTTAACTCTTTTGAAGACAGTGCCTCCAGGTCTTCCCCGGAGGCTGTTGGGCATGCTGAGGTGTGCCATAGGTGGTGGAGCGCTGCAGTACCTCAGCTCATTTTGATTAATGGACCTCTCTCTGCCCCTGAGTGAGCAATTATCAGAGGGTAGGCAAAGTCGTTCATCACTGTAACCAAGCAGCAGGTCGCTTCCACTGTCGAAAGTCATACCTGCAGGGCGAAGGGGTCTACATCCCCCACCTCCTCCTCCCTATCAGCCAGG